CCTTTTGAATTTTGTACTTTTTCATGTAAGGTATAAATTGAAACAAAAATCCAGGTAAACAGAACAAGAAATAAAGGACCTCATGAACTATCAAGGATCCCCATGTTGCAATCTGGAACTTTGTATAATTATTCAACATATAGTTCCAAGCATTTTTAAATGTTTCTTGTAGAGGGTTTTCAGGTAAAAGTGAATCTACATACTCCACAGCCAAGGATGCTGAACTAAAGATGCCGATACTTTCATTTGTTGCCATTTCTCAAATCTCTGCTGAAAGCCTTAGAATTCTGGACGACCGCGCGGGAACTGCGGACCCCCGTCACGCAGACTCGGCCCCAAAGCCATGTTTTAAATCCCTTTTCCTACGCCCCAAAGTCCATGTTCGCATTCCTACTGCAAACACACCGACCATGCACGGCATTGTAGGTGTTAGAGTGAACACTGAAATGTGAAAGAACTTTAGAACCACTTAGTAATCTTGAAAACAATCAAATATAAGAAGTATCCAAAGTATTTCTATTTGTCTAGTAAAAGAATGTTAGAAAGTAAACAGTGATTCTGAATCATCACCAGTTTGATTAGTTTCTGTCTTTTTAAGTTTGAGAATTTTTTTTTTCTTCCTAGGTCTCAAAAAGCAGCGCCGACATAAAATGTATCTTTGTCAAGCTGATGCTTTACATTGTGGTTTTTGAAAGGTGGTGGAGGAGTTCCTGGAAGAGAAAGAGTTTGACACAAAATACAAGTGTCATTTCCCTGGGAAAAGAGTGTCACAGTTGTCCCTGTGATTTTAGCAGTGACAGCATTTCAGAAGGATAAAACTGAAATGGGCCTTCTGAGTTTGGAACTGCGTGGGTAAATCTGGGGCTGCTTTGCCCAGTTTTTCACTCTCCTGTGTAAACCGACACAGGGGAGTTCATCAAAGAGACTGGATCCTCTCTCCGCTGCCCGCCAGCCTTGCCCAGGACACGGGCTTCAGACATCAGAAAGGTGGCCCTGGGCTGGCTAATGCTCGGCTGTCTGAGAGACATCTGGGGGCCCATCCATGGTTTTTTCTTTATTATGTGTCCTACATTTCAGGGTGGATGAAGACCCAGTTCAACCTTTTATTTATTTCAGGAGGGAGGTATCAAAACCACAACAAATAGAAAGAACTTCCCTCCACCTGCCTGGCATGATGAAATAATCCATGGAGAATTCCCTATGTTTCATTTTCTTTGTTTCGTCTTAAGAACAGTGCCCCCTCCCCACCCCTGCCGTGAGTGTACTAAGTGAACTAATTGTTGCCTTGTTTTTTTTGGAGTGATTTTTGTGTTTTATTAGTTTCTCCACTTCACATCGCCAGTGATTTAACTTCACCCCAGCATCTAAAATGTTGCAGTCCGATAAAATAAGTAAATGAATAAAGTCTAAAGTGCTTCCAAGCCGGGCAGACACCTTTTTGTATGCTGTGATTTTACTGTTCTTCCCAGCTGATATTTATAACTCAGCCATATGTGGTTATAAAGATTTATTATGAGCCTGTGGAATAAGTTCTGTTAACGTGTACAGTAAACGTCCAAGTTTTGACTCGGTAAGCCTTGGGGATTCCTAATAAGATGAAGCCATTTTGATTGCCAGCCAAGCAGTGTGCAGTTGGAGTGAGGCCTCAGATTGACAAAGGGCTTAGCTATGTACCCTAGACTATACTCGCCCTGTGTGGGGGTTCGCTCAAAATGTTTGCAGAGCTCAGGTAGGTATTTTTCTTCTTCATCACCATCCTCATCTGAGAAGAGTTGAAGTTTGAGAATCTGTTGACTAAAGGTTGGAATGGAAAATTTTAAGACCATAAATAAAGGCCAAACTAAAAAGTCAGGGCAGAGCCATCCGGGAGTATAGTGAATAGAGCATCTGTACCTGATCCCCCCCCCCCCCCCTTGTCTGGCAAGAGGATGGTTACTCTGAGTACATCAGGAGAGAGAAAACTGTAGACTCCAGCTGGTACTAACCCCACTAGCTCCCCTTACATGGCCAGTGGAAAAGGAGGACTGGGCCTCTCCTTTTACGCCCTTCCTCCATTTTCTGAAACTTCTCTTGCCCTTAATATATATGTATATTTTCCAAGCAAATTCATGCCATGTGGGGAAAAGAAAGATCTCAAAATAAAACAACAAAGTGAGACAGTGTCAAAAAGTGTGCAGCAATTTTCTCAAGCTCAACTGCATTAGAATCACCTGGGGAGTGCTTTAAAGATACTATAACGTCCAGTTTGGTTTTTTCCTCCCTAATGCTGCCTAGGTATTTTTTTTTTTCCTTGAAGATCCCAGGGTGAAAAAAGAAGAAGAAGAAGAAGAAGATATCCAGGTGATTCTAATGTGAAGCCCGAGTCACAACCCACTGGTTTAAAGCCCAATTTTAAGTGAATTTTCACAGAAGTCTTGAAAATAAGTAATATTTTCTACTCCCAGAACTTGGCAATCTCTGAAGATAGCTTGAGAAGCAGTATTCATTAACATGGAATTGCTCAGGTCTTGAAAAACTCTGCTCTGACAAAAGAAAACTGATCACCTGAGAGAAAGGATAGAACCTGAGCATGCCAGAGTGGGTGTCTTGAAGTCTCTGGAGGGTGTTGTGAAATTTCTGCACAGCACCATGTTTTTTAAAGATTTTATTTATTTATCTAAGAGAGGGAGAGAGCACGAGTCATGGGCAGAGGCAGAGGGAGAGGGAGAAGCAGGCTCCCTGCTGAGCAGGGAGCCCGACGCGGGGCTTGATCCAAGGACCCCGAAATCATGACCTGAGCCGAAGGCAGATGCTTAATTGACTGAGCCACCCAGGCACCCCTAACCTTTCTTCTATTAATGTGGTGTATCATGTTGATAGGCAATTACTTAAAAATAAAATCTTTAAAAAATAAAACAAAATAAAAATACAGTGGACTTCCCAGAGCTGTTAAGAATTAAATAAGACAACTTACAAGGTGGTAAGCATGGTGCCCGGCCTGGAGGGGCCCTCATGAGTGGTGTGATGTGTGGGGGAAGTAGCATAGCATCAACAAGAGCCACCCGGGCACCCTTTGCACAACACCATTTCCCCTTTGTGCCTCCCCTCCTCAGGTGCCCATAAAGTTCTAGATCTTTCCCCAGTTTTAGCTTATGATTGAATTGCTCCCCATCTAGCTCTTTTTCTAGCAGATCTGTGGAGTGCCATATTAGATTGTGGTTAATTAATCCCCAAATATCTGTATTTGATGATTTAATATATGATTCTTTTGATTATCATCAACATTACAAGATGATTTTGATATTTATCCTAAATAAGCAATGAATATAGACTTTTGGGTATTCAGTAATCCTAGACTGACAGTACACAAATTCTTAGTACCTCCCTTTAGTATACTTCTGACCAAACAACAATCTTCTCCAATGGTTATCCATCCTTTAAATAGTCAGGGAGCTCTGAATTTTAGAGGGTCCTGTTCATAATTGGACAATGTGATCTTTCCTGTCAATTTCCTTTCCAAAACATGTTTGAAATCCATCTGTCCTCCCCATTTCCACTGCTACCACCACTTATCCAGGCCACTGTTGTTTCCAGAGTTAGTTACCACAAGCTTCTATTTTGTCTTCCTCCAAATCCAGTTTCTGCATGAGCTGTCACCCACCTCACACTGCCCTCCACTCAAAGCTTCCCAATGCCTTTCCATTGCACTAAAAATAAAATCCAAACTCCTCACCTGCCATGGGCACTGTTGGGTCTTCTCAACCCCACTGGACATGCCCTCTGACCTCAGAGTGGAACTTCAGCTGCCTGGCCAGCCCAGGCTCTTTCCCACTGGGAGCCTTTGCCATGCTTTTCCTTCCACCAGGTATGCTTTCTGCCTGTTTCAGCCTGTAAGTCTCTGATTAACTAGAAGCTCTTCACACAGGAAAGACCTGTTCTTTCAGATTGCTCATTAGTTCACAAAACAAGCATTTTGTTCTCTAGCATGATTTGGGTACCAATTCCATGGCACAGATGTATATTTTTAGATCTCTTATGTGACACTTGAATATTCTTGTCAGATGAATTCTTTTTCTTTTCTTACATCCACTGGTGAAATATTTTGCTCCCAAAGCACTAAAACCTCCCGCAGCCAGTCCAGCGGGGAAAGTAAACAACAAGGATGAGATTCGAACCCATGCCTGCAGAGCATGATGGATTAGCAGTCCATCGCCGTAACCACTCGACCAATGTCTAATGCAGTCCATCCCTTTATTATCCTCTATCTCAGCCTGCCGTTCACTCCTTCGTAACAATTAAAATTTGCAGTTATCTTATTCATTTTGTCTATTTAGCTGTTCTATGCCTGTCTCCTCCACTAGAAAGAAAGAAGGGAAATCCTTTGATGACAGGGACCAAGACATATTGAGCACTCAAGAAATATTTGTTAAATGCTGGCAGGAATAAAAGAAAATAATCTCTCTTCTCTCCTGTCTTTTTTAATTTACCAGTCTTTGTTCTGTTGTTAGTGCAGTTGAGATGGGATCCAGGTGGCAACCTCCACTTTACCTTCTTCTAGAAGCAACTCAGGGCAATTTTTAACTCTTAATGTGTGGACTTGGGAACTAGGAACAAAACTCCAGATAGTATAATAGCACCAGCGGACACAGGCTGAGCTCTATGTGACATTCATCATGCTAGACATTTTACTCTTTAGTTCTTACAATAGAGTGAATCAGGAACTGATTCTTCCCATTGTACATATTAATTAGTACACTGGGACTCAAAAAGGAGAAGTACTTGCCCAAGATCGTGTAATTGATGCATGGCAAATAAATGTTCTGACAGTAGATCTTCCATGCTAACCCACTTCTATACACTCCTTAGGAGACAGTATAGTTTTACGAGTGTACTTCGCTAATTGGCTAGGACGATGACACCAGATTTTACATTATGGTAAAATGGTGGTTACTTTAAGAATGCTAGTTACTGGGGCTCCTGGGTGGCTCAGTCATTAAGTGTCTGCCTTCGGCTCAGGTCATGATCCCAGGGTCCTGGGATGGAGCCCCACACTGAGCTCCCTGCTCAGCGGGAAGCCTGCTTCTCCTTCTCACACTCCCCCTGATTGTGTTCCCTCTCTTGCTGTGTCTCTCTCTGTCAAATAAATAAAATCTTTAAAAAAAAAGAATGCTAGTTACTCTAATCTTTCCAATCCTGCACTTGCACGGTTGTGTATTTTTAAACCAAAGTAAAGGCTTTTACATTTATTTCCTTTGAATGGCATCACATTTATTTCAG